CGTTTTATACGGGGTCTATAGGAATTTTTGGCCGAGCCTACTGTCTCGGATATCCCATATTAAATTCGGCCTTCTGCCACATCTGACTGCGAGGTGAGGTGGGTAGATATACTGCAGTTGGAGATCCGTCTCCATCTCTGCTAGTCAAACTCTCTGCCTCTGGGCAGAAAGGACCCCCAGGCGAGACTATGCCGAAGGAAAGAGTTTCGTCTCCGGAAACATCTACCCGACACCGTTTTATACGGGGTCTAGGGGAATTTTTGGCCGAGTCGTCGGTCTCGCATACCCCCACATTAAATTCGACCTTATGCCACATCTGACCACTTGGGGCGGTTGGTAGATATCCTGCAGTTGGGCATTCATTGTGGAATTCACTTGACTCACTTCTAGCAGTTGACTACTTCTACGCGCCGCTGGCGAATCTTATATGTGCTGTTCTTGTCCTAAGTATTATCCTTCATAACCAACCTTCGTTTGATTATTCTATTCAGTAACCTTCCTTAAGTTACAACACAACGGAAGTGATATTTCTTACATTATTGTTTCCACAGTGCAAGGCAAATGAGACACTCAGCACAGAGAGTTACTGAATGAAGCTCTTGAATGAATACCAAATGAGGAAATTGCCCAACATCCATTGCCATATCGGAGGATTGATTTCACGTAAAAGTCCAGCACTCTTTCCTTTGTTTATGTTGCCTTATATATCCTATTCTGCGAGGAAATTGCCCAGCATTCACTGCGATAGAGAAGAATTAATATTACATAACATTTCAGCACACCTTTCTTTGTTTCTGCTGCGTGAAGTGTTCACTTCATCTGCGAGGAAATTGTCCCACATTCGCTGCCATATCGGAGAATTTATTGTACATAACGGTTCAGCACTCTTTTCATTGTTTCTACTTAAATCTTCCTGTTTCTTGATACTTCGTTATTCTTATAAAATTCATCTTTTGCTGTTTCAATGCGCTTTTCTTGTCATGTTTTCAGTTTTGTTTGAAAACAGATATTTAAATATTTCATATTTCTTTCATTTGGACATTTATTTCGTCGTTCACGTCTTTGGGTGTCATCCTGCCTGACGACCACGCCCACACTGAATCCGTAAAATTGATAGCAAGTCATTTATCTTCGCTTTCCTTTACTACCTTGTCCAGAAGACACTGATGAAAGAACATGTTTGATAAATATGGTAGTTGTTATATATGAACCTTTTATTTTTTATATGACTGTCATATTCATTCATTAATCGTTTCTGTTTTTGTTTCAAGACGTTTTAGTCCTTATCTGATGTTTTTATTACACAGTTTTTAATTATGTTGATAAACTGTTGTGGCTTTGTTTGGGCCAGAAATAAACACACAAGAGAGGGATTGAATTAAACAAATATATTAACAGAAACAGTAATATAAGCATATAAACAGAAACGACAGTCTCGCAGCACAAAAATGTTAAACAAATATATCAGATTATCAAACGAGAATGCTGAACTGCTAAAAATCTGAAACGTCACCCTCCAAAAGGCAGTACCTGCTCCTATTTATAGCTGGGAGAGACCAAGCGTGCCTAAGTAAATTACAATAACATAAACGTTTATTAACGTCTTCCATATTTCATTTGGGAAAAGTCTTTGAAATGAAGGTAGTTGGCAAATTAATAGGAACGATGAAATAGATAAGAATTAGATTGTTAATAAGATCTATATTTTTTATTTTTTTTTTATTTAATCGTTCTAACCCTATGCAAGGTAGAAAAGCCACTCAGTCACCAGGCGTTACTGGGCGTGAGAGAATTAGGAACAGAAACATTAATAATGTGAGGGAACTGAGAAGCGTAATCGGGAGGACAGCAGATAGCGATTGATATTGTATTTAAATTTTTGCAGATTAAAGTTGGCTTGAAAATATAGAACCGGAAAGACGCTGCAAAAGCGAGAAGGGAAGAGAAAATTTTAGTATAGAATTTACGCCTACATACCGCGCTTAAATTTTAAATGTTTACGTATCATTGCGAAAATCTCACCCGAAAAATTACCATGAAAGTATTTATAGAAAAGACACGGAGAGGCAACCTTGCGGCGGTGGGAAAGTGACTGAAGCCGTGTTGCCAGATCAGGACCGATAATATTGCTGATTCTTCTTTTATCAAAGAGCTCAATGTAAATAACAGGCTCACCGGACCATATGTGGCAGCAATATTCGAAGCATGGAGGAATGGTAGAATTGTAGATATCTAAGACAGATTTTGAAGAAAAACATTGAACCGCACGGCACAGTAATATGTGTAGAGATGCTGTTTACCAACGTGTGCTTAATTTTAGCAAAGGGCCACAACTCTGGAGAGCACAGTGAGCATTTAACTCACTACTCAGAAGGTATAGTCAGACAAACTACACCGTTAAGCATTACCTCAAATCAAACGCCCAAAATAACATATTTGACGTTACCTCAGTCATTTACTCGTCCTGGGTATGACGATAAACTACATCCACGTCCTGGGTAAGACGATAAGCTACGTCCAACAGCAAGGCCTCTGATCAGGAGGTTTTGAGGAGCGTGAAACCACCTCTTAATTGCTGGTGTTCCCAGGACATCCCTGATCCGGGGTAGTAGCACCTGTTAGGATCCCAGCTATGGGCAAATAGTTAACACTTAAACTAATAAAAAAAAAGGGTAAAAATAGGTTTTAATACCAGAAATACTTTGTAATAAACGAAATTATTACCGGCAATAATTTTTGAAGGAAAAATTATTATCAGCAATACTTAAAAAAATCCAGCAATACAAACAGTTATACAATCTTTGAAAAAAAATGACCAGCTATAGATTTCTTCAAGGAAAAATATTCCCAGAAATAGATATTTGAAGAAAAACATATTACCAGCAATAAAAATTTTGTCGGCATTAAATAATCCATTGAGGTTGATATGCCGTAAAGCAAAACAAACCATACCAAAACTCAGTCATTTACGGAGTAAAAAGAGAATTTTCCTTAACATTTCTTTGCTTAGCCGCGAATTTATAAATGTCCTTTTAAGGATTTGTATTAAAAATAAAGCCAAATAAAATATATCTATGATTTTTTTTTCTTTTGCGCATTTTAAGTTTGTTTTCTTTTGTTGTTTTTAAACGTTTCACACACACACACACATATATATATATGTATATATACATATATATATATATATATATATACACAGGGTGAAATGAGTAAATTGTCGCCATTTTATATTTTTAATTTCGCGCATGCGCGTTGTTTTTCCTTTTGTCGGCTGTACAGTATAGTAGGGTCAGTTGGGCACCGTTTGTGAGAAAAAGAGCACAATGACGCAATTCACCCCGCTATAAATTTGAAAACGGCTATACACCTTGGCATTCGCACCGGAATATCCAATACAAACATTTCAGAGTGTTTCTTTGTCAATCTGAGTCCAGTGCAGAGGAATTAAAAAGAGTTGGAATGATATATCCATTCAACATCATGGTGTTTGGGGTGGTCATTTGTGATGAGGACGTTATGCCTCTATTCATCTTCCAACAGGGCCTCAGACTACACACGGAGGCCTACATCAAGTGCCTTGAGGAGGTAAAGCTGCCCCGGGTCAAGAGGATAGCTGCTGGAAGAACCTATGTCTGGCAACAGGACTCTGTACCATGTCACACAAGCAGGAGAAGCCGTTCATGGCTGTCAGACAATTTCTTTGACCAAATCACCCCTTATATCTGGCCATCTAACTCCTCTGACTGCAACCCGCTTGATTATTATGTGTGGGGCGCAGTTGAGTGAGAGACAAACAAAATTCCTTGCAACACCAAAGATGAACTTAAGGCAGCAATCACCAACTTAAACAAACAAGGAGACCGTCCTGAAGAATTGCGGGAGATTCCGAAGTGGTATGGAAAATTTTATTGAATAAATTTACTCTTTAGTATTTCAAGATATTTTGGTGCAATTTTGGTAAATATATCTGTTAAAATGAGATATCAATGTTATTTTCCTTTTTTGCGTAATTTAAACGAAAATTTATCCATCGCACCTTGTACACACACACTCTCTCTCTCTTTCTCACACACACACATACACACACACATATATATATATAAAATTATGTGTGCGTGTGTAGAAAAACTGTTTTAAAGTAATGAATATTATATAGTATAATTGCGAATTAACAGTTATTAATTGGTAATAAGCAATTATTATTCTAGAAAATATGTTTGCTAATGAAATAATTACATTTGTTCAAGTTAATAGCACTTAAAACAATTATTGAGATTTTTTCATAATTTTTCTGTTATCTGCCATTATCTGTTTCCCACAATTTACCTGGTCTTTCTTTATTTATTTATTTATTTCTACCCCATCTCTCTCTCTCTCTCTCTCTCTCTCTCTCACTCTCACTCTCACTCACTCTCTATCTGTCTATGTTCAATACACTCCGCCCTGTGTATGACGATGAACGACATCCCGTAGCAAGTCCTCTGATTGGGATATTAGAGCTTTTGAAGAGGGTGTAAACACCTCTTAATTGCTGTTGTTCCCAGGTCCACCCTTACCCCGGGGTGGTAGCACCTGTTAGGGTTCCAGCTATGGGAAAATAGTGAGCACCCTCATAAAAATCCACAGTACATTTTTATAGAAAAATGACCAACAATACATTTTTATAAAAAAAATTAGCAGCAATACATATTTATAAAATAATTACCAACAACAGATTTAAAATTACCAATTTTAGGACCTACAAACTATATATTAAAAAAGTAACTTTTACCCAAAAAGTATAAAATTATGTATAAAATATTTACATTTCGGTATGAATATAGGCTGATATGCCAACCAACAAAATAAGTCAACAAACCAAAGAGCCAACATGTATATGAACAAAAGCCGAGTAACATCTACCATGGATTTAATACTGAAAGCAGAATAAATTATATTTATTACTTCAAAGGTCACAAGAAAATTAAATTTCGGCATTAAATGACCCCTAAGGAATTCATATGCGTGAAACAAACAAATCAATCGTTACTATACTCTTATGTCAAGCGATCTATATTAGTATTTCCACATCTATCTATCTATCTATCTATCTATCTATCTATCTATCTATCTATCTATATTTCAGTATTTCTGCATCTATCTATCTATATTTCAGTATTTCTGCATCTATCTATCTATCTATCTATATATATATATATATATATATATATATATATATATTTCAGTATTTCCACATCTGTCTATCTATCTATTTGTTGTAGATTCCGAGATGAATTCGGTCTCCAAGGAATGACCAACACAATAATTAAATACAATAAATAAAATGTATTTACACAATCATACAAAGAGTAATACTGTTAGTAAATCCAGGAACGCGGTTAGTAGCAAATACAGATAGATATATACAGTCTCGAAGTAGGACTTCCTTAGTGTCTACGTGCTTGTAACTGATTTCTACAAGAGGTTACCTCACTCTATCCCCGTTTGTATATTCTCTCGCTATCCGTATATCCTCTCACTGACTGTCTAACTCTGGGTATTTAACGGCAGCAGTCCAAGTAACACTGGTAGAGTCCACTTATATGAAAAGCGGAGGACCCCATAACACCCATCTCCTTAGATCCCTTTTTGGGGGGAGTTAGTATTTTTGTCGCTTATGGTTGATGATCAGGGGTTCGACAAATTTTCTCTTCCTGTTTGACCTTCTCATTTCTGTGTCTTCCTGCGGTATTTGTACCTCAAACGCTTCGAAGATTGTATCCATAGTGTCGTCGTTTTCTGCGGTTGACGAGCTTGGTTCCTCAATCCGTCTTTTCTGTAATTGGTCGATATGTTTTCTATGTGAAAACTTCTCGCCTTTTATGGTGTACATTAGATTCACTAATCTATTGATTACTGTGCCCGGCTCCCAGTAAGCCATATTGTTTGTAAACATTTTAAAATAAACCCGTTCTCCAGGTTTGAATGATCTCTTTGGTACAATCGGTGTATACTGATTTTTGTTCTTGTTTGGCAATAATTTGTCAAACACAGACCTTATTCTCCGGGCAAACATCAATTAAGCTGGTGAAAGACCCGATGGGGTGTTCACGTTAGGTGTTATTCTGTACACTCGGAGGAATTGTTGCATTGCTTTTATCGTCGGTACATCCTCAGCTTTTTTTAATGCTCTTTTTAGTGTGTCGACGAATCTTTCAGCTTGTCCGTTCGACCTCGTGTGGTACGGAGCTATCTTAATATGTTTTACTTGGTATGTCTCACAAAATTCTTTAAAGTCACTGGAGGTAAACTGTGTGCCATTATCGCTTACCAAACAATCCGCGACGCCAAATCTCGCGAATAGTTCGTGTAAACAGTTTATGGTGTTTTCTGTCGTCGGGTGTTTAAATCCGGCAACCTCTGGCCATTTACTGAAACTATCTATTGTTATTAAATAATAGTAACCTTCAATGGGTCCTGCGTAATCCACGTGGATTCTGGACCACGGTCTGTCGACTTTAGGCCATGGCTTCTGTGCCGCAGCAGCACAACCTTTGCAACTTTCCACCATTTGCGTGATATCATCGTCCATGTTCGGCCAGTAGACAAAACTTCTCATAAGTGATTTCATCCGGTTTTTTCCGGGATGTCCCAAGTGAAAATCTTTTAAGATCCTTCTTCGTAGTGACTTTGGTATTACTACTCTCTCGTTATACAATAATATGTTGTCACAGATTAAGAAACTGTCTGCTAAATTCCTCACTTTCTCTTCTATTTTTTTCTTGGTATCCTGAATAAACTCGTCTCTTTCTGCTTCTCGTCTTATCTCTAGCAGCGTTACAGGTAGTTCCTTTATTGTATTGCATAGTACCTTACTGATTTCATCTTCAGCTTGTAATGCTGCAATTACCGAATCTTCTAGCGGTTCGCAGGTATTAATCGTGATAGTCCATCAGCGTGTCCGATTTTCTTTGATGGTAAGAATTCCAGTTTAAAATTGTAGTTTAGTAACACAGTTCCCCATCTTAAAAGTCTGTTCGCTGTATAGATATGGTAGACCTTTTTTGAACCGAAAATCGTAAGAAGTGGTTTGTGGTCCGTTTGGAGTGTGAACTCTCTCTCATAAATATATCTGTGAAAACGAGTTACTGCAAAAATTATGCCTAATGCCTCCTTTTCGATCTGTGAATAGTTTCTCTCCGCCGGTAATAATGATCTAGATGCGTGTGCAACGGGTTTGTTTGTACCGTTCCGCATCTTGTGTAAAATACACGCACCTACCCCATGTGAGCTCGCGTCACATGCAATAATGATTTCGAGTTCGGCGTCGAAATGTGTCAATGCTAACTCTGAAGTTAATTTGTGTATTATTCCTTAAATGCTTTTTTACAGTCCTCTGTCCAATTCCAATTATGCTCCTTTTTTAGTACCTCATTTAGTGGAACCCTCAGTTTATGCATATTATCAATAAATTCGCCATAGTAGTTAGCTAGACCCAGGAAACTTTGCAGTTCTGCAATATTTTTTTGGTTCCGGCATATTTTTAATTGCCGATGCCCTCTCTGGGTCCGGTTTCCTGCCATTTTCATTTATTATCAGACCTAAATATTTAATTTCATTTAGGAAAAAATCTCACTTTTCTACTTTTACTTTGAAGCCGAAGTCCTGAAGTCTTCTAAAAACTTCTTTTATGTGTGATGTGTGCTCTTCAACATTGTCGCTCTTAATTAGAATATCATCTAGATAAGCGGTCGCGAAATTCTGGCCCGTGAGCATTGTGTCCATCGTTTGCTGAAAAATTGCAGGTGCAACTTTTATTCCGAATGGTAGTCTGTTGAATTTGTACAACCCTTTGTGCGTATTAATGCAAAGGATTTTCGTACTCTCTTCTTGTATTGGGATTTGTAGATAAGCCTCACTAAGATCTATTTTTGAAAATATCTTACCGCCGTTAGCTTTGTAAATATCTCCTCTGGGCTCGGTAGTGGGTAATGGTGGTCTTTTATTGCCTTGTTGAGTCCCGTCGAAAAATCTGCGCATACGCGAATTTCTCCTGACTTCTTTTTTATATAAACCACCGGCGCTGCCCACGCACTAAACTCTGTTTTTGATAGAATCCCAGTTTTTTCAAGTCTCTCCAATTCTTTGTCTATTTTTTCTATAGTAGCAAACGGTACATTTCGCTTCTTTTTAAAAATTGGTTGGACGTTTTCTTTTAATTCTATTTTGGCCTTAAATTTGTTGCATCGTCCTAACCCGCTTGAAAATACCTCAGGTAATTGATTATATAATTCCTCCTTCAATTTTATAGTATCTGATGGTTCAACCTCTGCAAAAAGAGTTGATAGGTAGGTCCCAAACGTTGAACTTCTGTATCCAATCGATACCTACTAGATTTTCAGTATCTTTCGTGACGTTTTTCTTAAGTTTTTTGTTTTGCCGTGAAATTTAACATTCACGATTATTTCTCCCTCAAATGTTATTTGTTTGCCTGTAACCGACTTGGCAATTTTTTGTGTGTGTAACATGGTAGGTCTGTTGAGTTTTTTCCATGTCTGTAAGTTGATTATAGTGAGGTCGGAACCCGAATCCAGTTGTAATTTAATCTTTTTATTTAAAATTTTCTGTTCCACATATTTCCTTACATTGGTGTTGTCATCGTTATGCATCCTTGTAGCTCTTATTCTATTAGTATCTTTTCTATTTCTACATTGGGATGCCTTGTGGCCTTTTTTTCCACATTCAAGACAGTTTTTATATCTGAAGCGGCAATCCTTGTTCCAATGTAATCCTCCACATCGATAACATGCTGATTGAGGGGGTTATATTTATTTCGATATTCGTCATAATTTGTCCTGTATGTTGTACTTTTTCTCTTATCATAAAATTTTCTTTTTCTTTCCGGGGAGGGTGAGAATTTTTTTCATTGTAAAATTTTAGTTTTCTTTCCGGGGAGGGTGAAGAACGTAGACATTTGTTTAACTTTCGTATATGTGAAACAACTGATTCTTCAATGTCTTTGCGTCTTTCTTTATACTTAGACATCTCTGGCAATCTTCCGATAATTGCTGTAATGTTAGACCCGTTCATTTTGTAATTTTGCAAGCATTCTTCTATGCACTTCGCTATCTTTTGTAGAAACTAGCCCTTGAACAAAGATGAGACATTTGAAATTGTCCGGGATTAATTCCGCTAGTTTGAAGTCGTCACAATGTTTATTTACGATTGCGGCAAACGTGGAATAATCCTCATTATCACCCTTTACCAGGTTAAGGCATTTCCACCTCCTATGGAAGAGTGATATTTTGGGGCTGAAGAGTTCTTTAAGGCATGTCACTGCTTCGTCAAATGTTAATTCGTTCGTCTTTTTTGGCAAGATATAATCCACGAACTTTGTATATTCTTCAGTTCCTAATTTTCTAAGCAATAGACGTAGCTTTTTTGCTTCTGTCCAATTTTGACAGTCTATATTAAAGATGTCTTCATGTCTTCTGAAGTAATCTCCAAAATTTTTGTCCTCATCTAGAGAATATTTGAAAATCTCTATGGTATTCCACACTGCGTTTTGCGAAAATGTTGCTTCTTTTTCAATATCTAATTGCTTGTTGCCCGCTACTTTCAATATTAGTTCCTGGAGCTCTGTTTGTCTATCTTGATTTTCCTTTTGCGTTTGTAATATTTGCTTTTGCCATTTTTCCTGTAGCTGTAACTGTTGATCATTTTGGTATTTTTCCATTTGTAATTGTTGCTCATTTTGGTGTTTTATCAGTTCTACCAAAATATTTTTAAAATCTTCCATGATAACTCAATTTTATGCATTTTTACTCCTCGAAATTGTCTGTCGCTAATTTGTTGTTGGACGACGAGGGAAGGATTTTTCTTTTGTTGATTTTTTTTTTCCGCTTGGGTTCGAATCTTCGTCGTCAATTTGTTTGTTGGACGGCGAGGGAATATTTTTCTTTTGTGGATTTTCTGTTTTCCGCGTGTGTTCGAATCTTCGTCGCCAAGTTGTTGTGGATTCCGAGATGAATTCGGTCTCCAAGGAATGACAAACGCAATAATTAAATATAAGAAATAAAATGTATCTACACAATCATACAAAGAGTAATACTGTTAGTAAGTCCAGGAACGCGGTTAGTAGCAAATACAGATAGATATATACAGTCTCGAAGTAGGACTTCCTTAGAGTCTACGTGCTTGTAACTGACTTCTACAAGAGGATACCTCACTCTATACCCGTTCATATATTCTCCCACTATCAGTATATCCTCTCACTGACTGTCTAACTCTGGGTATTTAACGGCAGCACTCCAAGTAACACTGGTAGAGTCCACTTATATGAAAAGGGGAGGACTCCATAACACCATCTCTCTCTCTATATATATTTCAGTATTTCCACATCTATCTATCTATCTATCTATCTATCTATCTATCTATCTATCTATTTCAGTATTTCGAAATCTACTTCAGTAATTCGTCATCTATCTGTCCATTTATGTATTTCGACATCTATCTATCTATCTATCTATCTATCTATCTATCTATTTCAATATTTCCACATCTATCTCTCTCTCTATCTATTTCCAGTATTTCCATATATATATATATATATATATATATATATATATATATATATATATATATATATATATAATAAAAAAGGCTTAAACACTAATTTTCCATGGAATATTAGCGTTTAAACCTTTTATTATACCTTACTCTGTCCTGGACATTGAGTTCTACCTGGATTCTATCCTCTTGGAATTATTTTTTATACAAATATATGTATGTATGTATGTATGTATGTATGTATATACATTTATATATTTTAGATATATGATTGTATATGTATGTGTATATTTACCACTAATATTATCTATCTATCTATCTATCTATCTATATATATATATATATATATATATATATATATATATATATATATATATCACTATTTTCTCATGCCTTTCTCAAGGGAATTCATGCGAATGTGAATGAAGTATACTAACTTGAATCTGAACTCGAATCGTCGATTCCATTTTCCACGCCGATATCCGTTGTATTATCCGCACATCACTTGTTTAATTCGAGCATTTCAAAACTCTCTTTCGATATTGTGAGCAAAGTGGATTACCAGCATCTTGGGAGGCACAACGGAATCAAACTCAGCCCCAGAATTAACGACAAAATGTTTTGTATTCGTAATTTCCATTCAGCACACTCACCACAAAAACAAAAACAAAAAAATCTGTGCAAAAAGGAATTGAAATATATTCGAAATTAAACAAACTTGAAACTCAGCTTAAATTTTGTAAAGCTCAACCTGATTGGTTGATAAATCATTCATTGCTCAAAGATTAACTCTCTGAAACAATTTGCACGTAAAAAACTACAGCTTATCTTTTCCCCAGAAATTTCGACTCGAGATGGCTTTCAACGACATCGTGAGGATACCGGCTACACAGGACACTTCGGAGCGGTAAGTAGTCCATATCTTAAGAAGTAGATTTATTTAACGACATGTTACCAACACTACAACAGATGATTATTCCTTAAAGCTGATGATTCACAAAAATAGAGGAGTATAAACTTAGATTAAGGATTAGGAAGAAAATTCGTAGGGATGTCTTGTTCACGTCCCGATTTTAGTGTAATTTAATTTAACTTAATTTAACTTGAAACATCTCAAAACTCAGGCTAATTCATGATTATATTGCTCAACACTACATGCATTCAAAACTTTCAGGGTCATTGTCTAACTTATAATCTTCGCCCTCTCTAACATTCTAACTTTCTGTCCTGGAGTGATATAAGGTGTCTCACAGGTTTCACGTCCGATTTCATTTTCAAATATTTTTTCGTTGATCTTTCTGTAGAACCACATTTCTGTTGCTTCAGGTTTCTTCATCTTTGAGGAAGAGTTTCCTGCATTTGCTGCCATACAGGAAGACAAATATCACGTAACAGTTCACCACTCTTTTCTTTGATTCAAATGAAATTTTTCTGTCGCTTAATACTCTTCTAAGATTTTGGAATGCAGTACATTTACCGTGATTAAGTTCAATAAAGTATTAAATACGTCCGATAAAATAGATTTACCTTTGTTTTTTATCCATACCGGGTGTAACAGCAAAATTGTCCAACTGTTAGTCTAAGCTCTGGGCAGTAATATCTTAGAAATAAATAAAGATACCTTACCGGAACATTATTAGACTCTAATTTGTGCAATAAGAATTTATAATTACTCTCCAATCTTAACAGAAGAATCGTGATGAAATCGATCATAAACGAAAATGTGTTTATTATTAATTAATTAAGCTATGAAGGATTGAAATAATGTTAATATATATATATATATATATATATATATATATATATATATATATATATATAATACCAGGATCATTGTCTGACTTATGATCTTCGCCTTCTCTAACAGTCTAACATTTTGCTCTGGAGTAAGAAGGTGCCTCACAGGGTTCACGTGTAATTTCCTTTTCAAATCTTTTTTCACTGCTCATTGGACAGTCATGGCAGACACTTCACTTGATTTTTCTCTTTAGTTCGAAGTTGAAATGATGATCCATCTTCCAGATGTGACCTCCTCATCCAGTTTTCCTCTATAGTGTCCCTTTTTTTAAAACTTATTTACTGTTCTCTTGATGGTTCTTGATGAACTTTGATGGAAGCCAGAGTATGAATGTTGGTCCCATTTTTGAAGGTCTGATTGATTTTTTTCCTCTCACCATTTCTCAGTTGGGAACACATTGGATATACCACAAAACAATTTTAACTTGTTCTTTTTTTTGGGGGGGTGAAAGGGATTTTCAGTGATTGTTACGACAAATGGTGTCAAGATAGCTAAACGTCTTGTCAGAAGCTGGAAAAAAGATCAATTAGTTTACTGTTTATTTTTAGATATTAAACATTTTGTAGTATATATATATATATATATATATATATATGCGTGTGTGTGTTTGTGTGTCTGTGTGTGTCCAGAAAGAAAAATCAAATCTAAAACTTAATTACAATAACGTGTCAGCCATCTGTAATGAAAAGTATATATATATATATATATATATATATATATATGTGTGTGTGTGTGTGTGTGTGTGTGTGTGTGTGTGTGTGTGTGTGTGTGTGTGTGTGTGTGTGCCCACTTTTACATTTAAATACGCTTTATCGCTGATATAGAGCACTTGAACCCAAAATATAGGATACTTCAAAATTATATTTTCGTTTATATATATATATATATATATATAGACACACACATATATATATATGTGTATATGTGCATGTGTGTTTATATATATATATATATATATATATATGTGTGTGTGTGTGTGTGTGTGTGTATGTGTGTGTGTTTATATATATATATATATATATATATATATATATATATATATGTGTGTGTGTGTGTATGTGTGTATTTATATATATATATATATATATATATATATATATATATATATATATATATACACTCACACACCCACGTATATATGTATGTGTTTTTACGAATGCGTACAACTGTATGTATGCATATCTGTGTGCGTATGAGTGTCATCCTAAAACGGACACAGATGAGAATATTCCCCACCACAAAAGATAATCAAACACAAGCTATCATAAATACATTCAATTGTTAAAAATAAAACAGTTTTGTCTGACGATCGCTAAAGCGTGAAAACCAGTGTCACAAACTCACATCTAGCCAACCAAATATCTTAGCTCTATCTCTGATATTGAGCGCTTTCTAATAAGTACCGCACATATAATATATAAATAATTATAGATATATATTAATGCTCTATAAATTTACATTGAGCACTATTTCGTAAAAATAAAAATATCTATAAGAACACCGGATTATATATCTTACTGTCCTTTCTTTATATATATATATATATATATATATATATATATATATATATATATATATATATATATATATATTTTCACACACACACACACACACACACACACACACACACACACATATATATATATATATATATATATGCACGTATCCTGTCTAAAGGGATTTTGAGAGCTTCTCTTTTACGACTTTATTAATTATTCTATCCTCATTTTCTTTGCTATCATTTCGCTCTTCTTGCTCTCCGTCCTTGCTCTCTATCCCGATAGTTTCCACTTGAGGAAGTTAATTAACTCACCTCATTGCCAACTAATTGCTGCACGACAGGTTGTGTGTAACCAATAAGGAATGTCTTGTGAAGTGCTCCTGATAATTCTCTCTATATCTTTTCGTGATCATCTTCCTTGCCATTTACTTGGTTCTGCGAACAGCCTGTAACTTCATTGTGGCACAATAAGGGATTGATTGATTGACTGGAACTGTCCAACCATGTAACTCTTCGGAATTGGTATCTTAGGGTGCCATCTCTTTACTGTCCTTTACTGGTATTTGTCAAACCGATTAATGCTACCAAAATCGTTTAGTTAAACCCAATACTACCTGATATATTTACTATAATTCAATGTTGTTTTAATTTTAAAAGAAATTCGAACATAAACAAGTTTACGGTCACATCGAACATAAACAAGTTTACGGTCACATCGTCGTAAAACAGTGGTTCCAATACGCTCTCATAATTTAAGCAACGTCGGTCCCTAAATGGGTGACTGCTTCGGAATACCAGATTTTGTAAATATGGATGTGTGGCTGGTGTAATGACTAATGGCTCGGAATTGTTAATCGGAGTGCCGTGTTTCAATTCCGTTTGGGTTGGTTATGTTCACTTACGCGCGAATACAGTTGGGAAGGTTATGGATCTACATATTCTCTCCCCCAGCTATGGGTTAATTAGTAAAAATTGTATCACTACACTGTTTTTATCAAAAAGAAAGAAAAAAACAATGTCATTTACAGGTATAACTAATCAGTGCTTCTTAAACTTTTTTTCATTCATGACCGCATTTTTCATGACGAAATTTTTAGCGACCCCAGGTATTAACGAACTTCACTGAAAATACATCCGTTGTCATTGCACTTCCTGCAAGGGCGCCGAACGCGCGTTTTATTACCGCAGCGCTTGTGTGGCGCATCAGGTTAAATATTAGGCGTTTGTGGAATAACAGATAAACTGAAATGCAAATGTTTGAATTTAATTTTCGCGACCCCAGCATTTCGCTTCGGTACATCAATGGGGTTGCGACCCATAGTTTAAATAAGCGCTATATTAACAGCTAGGATTGAAGAAGTCTGTTATTATGGTCTTCCCTTGGTAGGGAACAAACTGCTCTTAGGCTAGTTTAAATGCTTCCCGTCTGTATTGCCAACTGCGCGTTGAGATGGGTAGAGAGAAGAGCTGAGCTGTTGAACTGATATGGCAATAGTTGTTTCAAGCGTCACATAACTACAGACACAGGCCCGAACAAGCAAAGCCCTGAATATTGGAAACGGAATTCAAGTACTCATTTTCGACCATGACGCTCGTTTTCATCTTCCATTACATTTTGAACGTGTAGTGAGCCTTTCACTGTTGAACACCGATATCAACGAGAATAGAAAAACGACATGGGATAATCATTGACGAATTGGTGAAGGTTCAGTTTTATG